AAAATGGGGAAAAAATGGGAAAAATTGGGGGAAAAATGGGAAAAAAAATGGGATGAAAAATGGGGAAAATGGGGAAAAAATGGGAAAAATTGGAAAAAAAATGGGAAAAAAAATGGGATGAAAAATGGGGAAAATGGGGAAAAAATGGGAAAAAAAAATGGGATGAAAAATGGGGAAAAAAATGGGATGAAAAATGGGGAAAATGGGGGAAAAATGAGAAAAATTGGGGGAAAAATGGGGAAGAAAAATGGAATGAAAAATGGGGAAAATGGGGAAAAAATGGGAAAAAATGGGATGAAAAATGGGAAAAATGGGGGAAAAATGGGAAAAGAAAAATGGGATAAAAAAATGGGGAAAATGGGGAAAAAATGAGAAAAATTGGGGGGAAAATGGGGAAAAATGGGATAAAAAAAGGGGAAAAATTGGGGGAAAAATGGGAAAAAATGGGATGAAAAATGGGAAAAATGGGGGAAAAATGGGAAAAGAAAAATGGGATAAAAAAATGGGAAAAATGGGGGGAAAATGGGATAAAAAATGGGGGGAAAATGGGGAAAAATGGGATGAAAAATTGGGGAAAAAATGAGATGAAAAATGTGATGAAAAATGGGGAAAAATGGGATAAAAAATGGGGGGAAAAGGAAAAGAATGGGGAAAAATGGGGAAAAATTGGGAAAAAAGAAAAAATGGGGAAAATGGGGGAAAAAAGGGAAAATAGAGGGGGGAAATGAGAAAAAATGGGGAAAAATGTGAAAAAAGGGAGAAAAATAAGAAAAAATGGGATAAAAAATGGGGGGAAATGGGGAAAAATGAGAAAAAAATGGGTTAAAAAATGGGGAAAAAATGAGGAAAAATGGATGAAAAAATGGGGGAAAAAAATGGAGGGAAAATGGAGAAAAATGGGGAAAAAATGGGGGGAAAATGGGAAAAACATGGGGGGGAAAAATGCAATAAAAGGAGAAAAAATGGGATATAAAAATGGGGGAAAATGGGGAAAAATGGGAAAAAAAAAGGAAAAAATGGGAAATAATGGGGAAAAATGGGGAAAATATGGGGGGAAATGGGAAAAAATGGGGCAAAAATGGGAAAAAAGGGGAAATGAAATTTATAAAAAAGGGGAAAATGGTAAAAAAG